TGAGGATTTAACAAATGGCATTAAATAAGGAGATATTCCATGGTAATAAGAACCAATCTGTGTGGTAGCACCAGGATGATGGACACTGTTTGGGGTGAGGCCTCCAGTGTCCAACAGAGGCACAAATTCCCTGATGTTGGGAATGGAGAGAGACCCAAACCAGGACCCCTTTGGTCAGCATTCCTGGTAGATCCAGTTCTGCTGGAGATTCCCACAGCCATAAATACCCACCATTCCCACAGCCATAAATACCCACCATTCCCACATCCTGGTTCTCTTCTTGGGCAGGAGCTCAACAAATTCTTCAAACTGGCAATTAATTCACAATCCATACACCCACCAAGCTGTGAGTCTGATGACCTTTCAGAGATCCATGAATGCTGTTCAGGAACCTCCTCTATAAGATCTCCCCAACTTTACCCTTCTTTTACTCTAGGGTTAGTCCTCCAAATCTGAACTTTTACCTTTTCCTCATGGTTCATCTCCAAGCTTTATTTAATAATGATTCTGCTAGGAGAACACACTACCCTGAGATAAGGAGGGGCAGCCTGGCTGTTACAGTAAGAAATATTTCCAATTTTACCAATTATGTTCTGAAAGAGAAAAACTGTCATTATTTTAATCAAGACTTGTTAGAACCAAAGGTTTTTTGATGGGACTATGTGCCCAACCACCACAAACATGCTGTGGTAGCAAGATCCATGAAAATATACTCCTGATACAGCTGGTTTGGGGGCAAAATAGTAGATATGGCAGTTCTTGGGGCACCTGATTCCTTGAGTCATCTGACTGTGGTGGCAGAAAGTCCTTTACACTGTTTGTCACCAAAGCCAAGGGACATCCTGCTCATTCACTCAGCACAGCCAGCTTGGGACATGTTCAATTGACTTTTGGTCTCGTGAGCTACTGAAAGACACAAAAACTCTTCATTATTGTCAGGTTTATGGAGGGGTTTAAGATCCTAAATGAGATGTTTATAGAGAAGTTAATCTTCTTGATTTTTGTGCCACCGTACCTAGAGCTGAAGGGCAAATTTAACCACTCTTTCAACAGTGTATCTTGTTAAATTGAGATATTAATATCAATTAGATGGCTGATTCTTTCCATGGTATAAAATAAGTCAAGGCATAATTGATGGTACTTAAATATCTTTGCACCTTGCAATACTGGATTTGAGATATTATATTGACGAAATGCTGGTTTTCAGCAGAAATCAGGTTTATTTTCTTTTAGTTCTGAAGCCCTGGAATTTCTCAAGGAAATGAAGAGTTTATTTGATATATCCCAAATATCCATGAACAGACTCTAAATGCTGACTTTACCAGAACAGAACCGATTTGCACCAGTTGAAACTTTCAGCCCTTTCTCTCTCAAAATTTGCAGTAAGGGCAGTGCCCAATTCCCTGATGGTTTTACAGGGAACTGGATCAGCTCCATAAAGTTACCTGGAAAGGAACAGACCCACAGATACTGAACACCTTGCCAAGCATTTTTATGAACTGATGATGGAGAACCACACCAAGATCAGAGATCACTTTTCAAACCTTTTGGCCTAAATGTACTTTATCTTGGATTTAGAGTGTATCCATCAAACTTTGAAGTTAAAAAATGAACCAGCTGGGGTTTTTTGAGTCCTTTCACACTGTACAGTAGCACTGCTGTTTGAGAGAATTATTCCAAAATCATTCAAGGTTTTATTTAACTGTAAATATTTATTTTCCATCAAAGGAAGGGATTCCCAGAGGTGGCCAAGGCATCCAGCTGGCAGCTTTTCAACAATATATTAATTTTTTGTACACCCTTTTCCAAGCTGTGCAGTCAGCAGGAGTCAGGAGCTGTTGAAGACAAGGTCTCCTGCAAAGGGCACATTTCTCATGGATAAACACGATGGGGCATATTCTGCTCTAGAAAGGATTCATCCTCATTTTCTTCTCCCCCTGACCAAGGGTTTGATTTCAGTATAAGGCAAAGCAAAACATTTGTTTCCAGTAACAGCAAAGCATTTTGTGGGCTCCTGAATATTTCATTGGAGAATCTTTACCTAATTAAGGTAAATTTTCTGAATAGTTTATTTTTACAGTAGGACAGGAATGGAAGCTGGAATTTGGGGCTCCTCCAGGAGAAACTAAACCTCTGTGCTGGCAAACATGAGAACAGCACTGCACAGATGTTCCAGACAAGGGTGGACCTGCATAAACACAGGAAAAAACCCTGTCCAATCTCTCTAGATACTGAATTGTACAAGGAGAAAAGCACACAAAATTAATACGGCTCATGATACTGAAATAAGGAAAATGCCAGTCAAAGTTATGATAATATGGAGTGTCCCAGAATCCCAGGATTTGGACAAAAACCTGTGTCAGCAGTTAATGACTCACTTGCAGAATAGGGTGATTAATTATTTTTCTGTGTGACCACCCGTGGATGCTTTAGCTGTGGCCTGGGATGGATCTGTGTTAGTGCTTCATGACAGCAAACTCCAATCGAGGATGAGAGACTGGGCTGCAATTAGCATTGTACAAGAAAATACCGAGCAAAATATTAATTGCCTACACATCATAAATTTGACCCACATCAAATCATTCTGTGGCCATGCCACGGAAGGAAAATTTCACAGCTGGAGTTAAAGAAGGATCCAATCACTCTTCCTACATGTGTAGGGTTATTTGGATAAATGGAGAAAATAGGTTTCTTGAAGCTACTGGCATCCCAACATTGAACTGGGTGAGGTAGAAAAGTTCAGAACCTGACTGGACCGGATCCTCAGCATCCTGCTCTGGCTGTGAGCAGCAGATGGGCCTGGGTGGCACCTGGGGGTCCAGAGGGGTCCTGAGGAGACACAAAATGCTGATGGTTTGCTGATGGATGAACAGAGAAGGGCATGTTTTAGTTGTATCACAGAGGGAAAAAAAATCTGGAACTTCAGCATAGCCTGGAGGCGTAAACACAGGGAGATTTGCAAGTGGATGTAAAGTGAGTATTGCTTAAAAATAGGCTGAGGAATGAAAAGGCAAATAGTGTGGTGGTATTTTCCACAATGTTTAGGTACTCATAACTCTAATCAGCCTGGGGAAGGAAATGAATAATTCCCTTTAAATCGCATTGAATACCAGAGTAGGTGGCTACATAGGAGAGAAGCAAGGAGAGCAGAAGGACCATGTGAGGTTCAGGCAAACCCACCTGACCCCCACTGGCTGAAGCTCAGCCCCAGAATGTGTTTTTGCACCATGGCCCTGATGATCCAAGCAAATGTTTTGGGGCTGTCCATTGGAGTTATCTCCTTAAAGGGAGGAGGGAGATCCTTGATCCTTCATGTTCTCTGCTTTAAGCATAAACCCCCTTATCAAAACCACGCAAAAACATTGTGCAACTTTCAGAGTTTAGCTGCTTAAATTTCCAACCTGAGCAAAAAGAATAATGTTATTTACTTATTTATTTGTTTGTTTGTTTATTTATTTATTTATCCCTGCGCCGCTGCTTGGGGGCAAATACATGAAGATGGAGAATTTCCCACTGGAGGCTTTTGACTCCTAGTTTAGAGGAGTCATTAGTCACGTCACACATGCCAAGTCTGGTGGAATTTGGCAGAGCTGCTTAAAGTTTAACGAGGGCAAAGGGATGAACCTTTACCTCAGCTGTGCCGATGGTTACAATGCAATGATAATTCATCAGGAGTTTAGTGCTCAGCTTCCTATTAAAACAGCCCAGCCAGGCAGGATCAATCCCTACAAATCTGCCAAGAAAGATACAACTTGGATCAAACAATAGCGTTTTCACTCAGGCTGCACAGACACAGTTTGGCTCTGATGTGTTTTCCCGGGCGAATTACAAAAGCAGGATTTGGAGATTCTTCCGTCTCGGGAATTAAATGCTCAGAACTATTGGCTGTCAACTTGAAGAATGTTAGATCTGCATCTCTCCCCAATTGTCTTGAGTTTTTTGGAATGGAGCCCAGATATTAGCAGGGGGTAAATAAGACAAAAATTGACAACAATGTGCATTATAGGGTGAAGCGTGGAAGCTGAGGTTTAGATGTGAATGGTTAATGGATTTCTTAGAACTGTGGTATTTGATCTGAAGCTTACCATGTTTTTCAAGCAGATTCACCTCAGCTGATCTCTGAAACCTTAAAAAAAAAGAGAAGTATATTTTATTCCATTTGAACCACTGCAAAAATACAAGGTTTTTTTACAAGTGTTTATTAACATGGCATGATTTTGGGGCTTGTGCAGAACTATTCTATGATGGTTAAAAATATGTTTTAAATGTGCATGGTTATAAGTTTGTGTTGGTCAGACTCAGTTTGGCTGTTGGCACAGACTACTACAGTAAAATGAATTCTGCTTGGTCAATTAGGGGTTAAATATCTGTTATTTCCAAGTGTGTTGTGTCATTCCGAAACTCCTACTTTTGTTTTTACAACATACAGTGGGTACAAGGTTGTGAGGTCAGACTGGGAGTGATTCTGCATTTTCAGAGAAGTGGTTTTTGTTTTATTTTTTTTTTTTTTGCTGCCTTATGTGTTTGGACTGTAAGAATGTTTTTTCTCTTGTGTGGCATGAGCTGTGCTTTTTATCCTACAGCATCTTTACTAGGGATGAAAAGGCCCAAGAAAATTTGATAATTTTGCCACAGATCCAGCGAATGAACAACGCAGCTAAAATAGGGCAAACTTGTAAAAGACCCCATTTCAACAAGTTTCTAAGGAGCACAAATACAAATACCTCCATACAGGCTGCAAGCAACATAAACCTAAATACACATTGAAGCTCAGTTCAGCCAGGTACCTCAGCCTGAGGTTACTGAGATGTGCTGTGGCCCTCCTGAATCCACAGGTTTGTTCACATCCATGCACATTTATGGGTGTAAAAGCTCTTTGTCCTGGCGAGCAAAGCCAAGCCTTTATTTCCTTCTCTTTATTTCCCTGCTGAAGCAAATTTTTCTGCCTCTCCCTGGACTTCCTTCCTTGTGAAAACACACTCAGTGTTGCTTTTCTGCAGGTTCTGGATGTGTTTGTGGAGTTTCAGTGAGTTCCCCACCCTTCCCCGTGGTGATGCTGCCCGAGCCTCTCTCCAAGCAGCTGATGATGTTTTGGGAGAGCTCAGCTGCCTTTGCACCAGCCTGGATTCCTTCCCACTGACAACACCAAGTTCCCTGGAGCCTGAGGTAGGTTTCTAGTCAGATAAATCTGCAGACAGCAGTGATGAATTTGGGCGCACAGATTCTAAAAAAGCGTGCGCATAATGCCTTCAAAAATTGACTTTACTCAGTTGGGAAACATCAGCGCCCAGCCCTGTCCTGTTTTCAGTAACTGTTGTTATGTCCCAGAAATTTCATTTTACATCTGGAAACTTCTGTGGTTTTATTGATACAAACAGTTCTTGATTTTCCATTTTGTCTGGAAGGAATGGAGAAATTTTTAAACTTTGTGTTCCCACGATTGCAGGTGTGTATTATGGCACTGGAAAGGAAATTACTGCCATGTATTTATGGCTGATGGAGACCATTCAGGGGTTGTGATGTGCAATGAGAAACTCCCAAAAACTTTGTCAGGGCATGAATTTAGTAACAAACATAAACCTGAGCTTGAAAATGAGCAGCTGGGTTGCTCCATTTGGTGAGATCACACAGTCAGCAGGAGTTGGGCTGAGTTGGAATGACTTTGGGTCATGTTTTTAGCAAAGCCTAAGACCCGGTACCAATATAAACTAATAGCTTAGAGTCAGTGGTTTCACTATTATTAGGTCATTGGGTAGAAGAAAATGCTAAATGGAAATAATTTGGAATATACTAGCAAGTCCCAGGAAAGTGGGAGAGCAGAAAGGTCCAGTGCAGCTTCCCCAGGATTCCTGTAAATGAGGGGTTTCCAGCTCCCATTGATCATTCCTCTTTGCACCATGTGTATAAAATAGCAATTTGAGGTTTCAGGAGTGTCATGTCTGCATGATGAGTCCATCAATTTTCTTTGGCTGCAGGTTTCCCTTCAGTGGCTGGGAAGTAAATTATGAGAAGCTGAAGGAGAAAGCCGTAAATTATTGGGCTCTGCCAACTTCAATATCCGCAGCCTGACGGAGCCTTGATTTGACAACAATCTGCTTGTCAGTCTCTCTTGCAAAATATTAACACGCTCAATTATCAAATGTGTTATCCAACTGTTAAATCTCACGGATGGAGCAGTCCAAAGTCCAGGGTCAGGCTCCGTTTCTGCTCCTGCAGCAAAGCATCTGCTCAGGCTTGGGGGCTGCTCCTTCTTGGCCCCTGACAGCAGCTTTCTTTAGGGGTAGTTGTGTTTTTCTAGGGAGTTCAGGCTCTTTCTGTGAGAAAATTGGAAAGAAAGGCACAAGTGTTGTTGCTTGGTTGCCCCGGGTGCAGTTGGAGTTTCTGGGAACAGTGCTCCCCAAATCAGCCTCTTTGAAGAGGCAGAAAACAAATTACGTGCTTTTCAAAAGCCCCAAGTTTTGGAGGAAGCACCAGCTTACCTTCATGTAAGAGCATTTTACTAAATCAAGTGTATTCTAATCACCAGCAAAAAAAAATCTCTTCTTTCTCTGAAAGACCCTTTGGGAAAACCCTCTCACTTTAGTAGGATTTTATCCATCCTCCTGTACTTTTCCCAGGCAATGGGAATGAACATTAGTCTGTCTCCTCATGCTGTAAATTATGATGGGCCACTGTAGATAAGGGGTTTGTGCTAAACATTAAAAACAGTCACCTGGAAACAAATGAAAGCATGAGTAATAACCACATGCAAATTTCTCCCCCATTTATAACTTGCTAGTAAATGCTGACATTTGGAGAGAGGGAATGCAGTACAGGAGGAGGATGTTGGGTTTTGCAATTACAGTCCCAATCCATTCTCAAAAGATTAAAGTTTTACACAGCGGTTGTTCTCGGGAAATTTGCTGAATCCTAATATTTAAGATGAAAGCATAATGAAGGATGGCTTTTTTTTTTTTAAATTGTCTGATAGGCTTGATTTGCCAGTTCCCACTGAAGCAAAACTTTCCTCTGACTTCAATTATCAGTAAATTGTGTTGACCTCAATAAGGGTTTTTGCAGAACTGGACCTGTAGCATGAATAGGCTGTTCTGTGCAGAAAAGTGACTGCATGAAAATGGCATCTTCTTACTCATCAGTTCTGCCTCCCGAGGGCACACGAGCTGCTGTGTCTGGCTTTAATGACAGAAATGAGGTTTTGCTGCTCTTTCCTCCTGTGAGACCTCCAGAGCTGGTGGAACAGGCTGGGAGTTGGTGCAAGAATGGCAGAATTTGGGTGGGAACAGCTGTGTCCCCTTGGTCCCCCACACCCAGAGGGGTCTGAGCCCCCAGGCTGCACCCCAAAAAGGTGTGAGCCCCAAGGCTGTCCCCCAAAAGGGTGACAAAACCCAAATCCCTGTCTGTACACGACAATGAATCAACCATCCTTTTCCCACTGGGCTACTCCAGACCGGGAACTTTAAACGCTCCCTGTTGGACATCCTCCTGATTTATTGCATTTGTAAAGGTGACCTTAAATATTTTAATGGTAATAATTCTTTCAAGGGTTTAAATCAGTAAATGTGCTGTGTTCATATTTTGGCATTATATACTGTAGGCAATTTAATCCATATAAGCAGTTTCAGTGATATTAACACTGTAGGCAAACTGATACTAAAGTTTAAATGTCAGAGAGAGTTTCCATATTACATCTAGTGCAAACAAAGCATTTTTTCTCCAAGTACTGAGGCATAAAATACCAGGAGATAGTAAAGACAGAGAGTGCCAATGAGTCTGAAATAAATAGGAGGTGAAATTTATAGCATTTTCAAATATGTGCCCTATCCAAGGACTGCTGCAGCTGCACAGATCTATAAAATTAGAGATAAGAGAAAAACCTTGTAGCACTTCACAATAAATGCACCTCCACCAGGGTATCTATCAGGATTTCTGTAACTCCTTGGAGATTTACTATTTCACCTTGGATTTATTTCCCACTGTGCATGGCATGGTTGGTATTTCCGATTTCCTCCATTGCCCCACTCATTATGCAGTGCCAGGTCCCAGCTGTAATCACTGGGCAGTGGCACCATGAGCCCACCCCGTGCAGGAGGGTGCAAACAGATCTGGGCTGGGATGACCCCACCAATATTTACCCAGTGGTGCTACAGGAGCTTGGGATCAGGCAAGTTTCCATCCCATGGCCCCCGAGATCTGGGTTTCTTCTCACACTCAATGGGTAGTGAAGACTTTAACTTTTTAGGGCAAAAAAAGCAAGGATTGGGTGAAAAGAGGTGCCTTCCATGATCTCCAGCTTGTGGTGAGGTGCTGGGTGCTGCCCATGTTGGGATAAATGATGCTGTGGCTCTCCAGGCCCTGGGAAGGTGCATCTGAGCCAGCCAAGCACGGCTCATAAAACCTGTGACAAATGGTCAAAAGGTTTATTGGCCGTGTTCTGCTGTGCATGACCCCATAAACCAGCAAGGATGTGTGGAAACACGGGCTGTTTGTTAGGCTGTTTGCTTGTTAAATAACCTGACCTGCTCTGAAATCTCCTCTGGCATCACTGGGCTGAAAAGGGGGGCAACTCAGTAAAAATAAGTAAAGAAACCTGTGAATGATGTGTAGGAAATCACAGGAGGAGGAAGCACAAGTGGTGTCAGGGAGGATGGGAGTGGAAGGGAATAACCACTGAGAAATAACATTTATGAGCTATTTATGCTCTTTTTTCCTAAGGATTCTTATCCTTGATTTAATCCCTCTGGAGGTCTGGCACAGCTTTGGTGACCATGACTCCTGGGAATGTTCATTACTATCACTTAGGTGGCAGGACTGTGGTACAAGCCTGGCAGTGCATCTTTATCTCAAGGAATTTTGAAGGTGTTTCTGGCAACTTTAGGAAATTGGATATAAGAGAGAATTTGGGGTGGTGGAAATCTCCTCAGCCTCCATCCTCCCCTGTCAAGCTAAGCCCTGCCAGGCCTTGATGAGATATCCCAGACCACAGACAAAAAGATCTCCAGACCCCATGGGAGGAAGGGACAGCCTCTGCCATGAGGAGTTTCTTTCACTATTCAGAAAACTCAAACACAAATAACACCTTCCCAGCTGTGTCATTGCAGCAAGGTGAACTTTTAGTGCTCCAGGCTGAAGGATTCCTCTGGAACAGCACTTCTTCCATCAGGAGACCCTGGCAGCGTGATGTGACCATCACCTTCTCTGGCCACAGCTCCTGGGTGAACAAGTGACCCAATGCACGATTTGCAAACTCCAGAACCTGTCAAAGTGAGGAAAAAATGAATGTGCTCAAGATCTCATTGCAAATCTGCTGAAACAGAGCCAAGATCTTTAATTCATATTCACATCCCTAATCAATATTTCAAGAAAATCAAAGTGTAAAGCTCAACCTGTATAATCGTGGCTCTGCCTTCATCCTGATTGCACTTAATTTCATCAGGGTCACACTGAAGAGCTCAGGCTTGTTTAATTCTAAACTCCAATGACAGTCAGAGGAATCCAATTTTAGTTGTTGCTCTGTAAGATTTTTTTATTCAAAAGCAATTAAATGGCTTTCTCTGGCCTCCTTAAATTGACAAACTGTAAATAAGGGTTGTTTGTCCATAGGAAATGATACCACCATATTTAAAACATATATAGAATGACTTGTAATAACTGCTACTACCAGAATAGATGATAAGCCAATAAATTAAAGTAACAGCACATAAAATGATGAATTTGGGTAGGCTTAAGGTGATATAAAATAATTGGAGACTTCGCTGCTATTTCCATTTTTAATGGGGTTCTGTGGCAGCACGTTCTGGCAGAGGGGCTGGAAAGGTAAATTAATCTTTATGCATCATCATCAAGCAGTGTAAACACGGCCAAACTTAATTAGGACATAATAGATTGTTAAGAGTCTGCCCCTCAGAGGTGAGATTGCTCTGGCAAGTGAATACAGACTCTCAGACAAGGTCTTCTTTAAAAGACTGATGGTAGCTCTTCCATGCCTCTGACAACAAAGGCAAAGCCCTGCCAGAGAGGCAGCTTTCCACAGTGCCAGGGCAAAGCACGAATCTGCAGTGAAATATCAATGCAATGTGGCCTGAGGTTGTACTGCTTTGGCTGGAAAAATCCTTTACTGCAAAAATACCAACAGAAGTCATTGAAATCTCCACCAGGATGGATGTGCT